AGAAATTTGACTGCAAATCATGTTAGAAATCATGTTTAGGCTATGTGTTGGTACTGTAGGGACCCACAGAGGTCGTGTTACCTGTTGAAATATCTGCTAAATGCTACTTGTACTCAGTTACAGTTTTACTTGCATATCATATATCAGTCTCTATTACATTTTGTTAATACATTATATCATATATGTTTTGGGCTAATTTTCATGATTTCTGAGAGCCCAAGAGACTGGAGAGGTTGAAGACCGAGTGAGGCCGAGGGCTTGATTGTGAGGATATTAATACTATAGCACGTGAGTTGTCCGTGCGGATCCAAATGTTGATACTATAACATATGAGTTGTCCGTACGGATTATAGAGCTTAGGCTGAAGGAGCCCCTCAGGAGTCTGTACACACCCCCAGTGAACGCAGGTACCTAATGAGTTGAAGTGCCAAGTGTTGAGCGATTGAGAAAGATTGAGTGACTGTTGCTCTGAAAGGATGCTTTTGATTTCATTAATGTTGGAATTAGCTGCCTCATTTATCTTGAAATTTCTGAAAGATATTCTATTCTGATTAACTTGAACTTGGCATGAGGTAACTGATTTGATCCAAAATTGTCGAACTTGAAAGCATGTCTACTTTATTTTGTTGAAATTACTGAAATTGAATTATAATTGCAGATCTCGTCACTACTTTCAGTATTTTATTAAGTCTTGTTACTTATTGAGTTGGTTGTACTTACGCTACACCCTACACTTTGTGTGCAACTCCAGGTATTTCCGGACATTATAGGTGTTGATTTCATCGCACAGTTGATCTTTAGGAGATTCCAAGGTAGTTGCCCGGCGCTTCACAGAACTTGTTTCTCCTTCCGTATCCTTTTTGCTTATTGTATTTAGTTTAGGACTATGTTGGACAATATTTTCCAGATTTGTGATATTTAGATGCGCATGTACTCCGTGACACCCCGATACTGGGACTCTCCGCGTTATGTTTTGAGTTTTATCCCCTTTATGAGAACCTTTTTATCATCTAAAGTTGCTTTAACTCATTTTCTGTTAAAAGTATTGAAACATTTTGAAATGTCGGCTTGCCTAGTACCACGTTACGCGCCATCACGACAGGTTAGGATTTTGGGTCGTGACAAAACGTTTATGCTGTTTTGGTTCTTCCTTGTTTAGCAGTTGTTATCGTACATGATCATTTTGGCTCTCTCTTTAGATGCTTCTTTTATGTTACTTTCATGTCTAATTTCCGATATTAATTCATGCTATTATCTTGTTTCATTTCGGTTATTCCTTCGCTTTCCATTATTTATTCTTATTGCATTTCCATAAGTGCCGGGCAAAAAGTTAAACACAAGGGTTCGCGATTTTGGCTTCATTTTAACATTTTGAGCTCGGTTTTGGCGAATCTTGAGAGGATTTTCGAGGGGATTCTTGAGGTAAGTCCCTTATGCTCGTTTTTTATAAATAATCTTGTTTTCCTATTGATTTTCCCACCTAGATTGTGTGGTTTTGAGGCAAAATTTGGAGGTTTGAGGCTAGGGATTTGGAGAGTTGATTTGCGAGATTTTGGTGACGATTTGGTGTCAGATTTTGATAAAGTTGTTATGGTTAGACTCGTGGTTGAATTGGCTTTTGGGTTTTGTAACTTTTTTCGTATTTTGAGACGTGGTCCTAAGGGATGGCTTTGAGTCGATTTTTGACTTTTGATTTATAACTTCATATTTTCTTGTGGAATTGATTCGAGGCAATTGGAGGCCTATTTAAGAGGCAAAGGTGTGTTGGAGTAGAGATTTACTCGAATTGAGGTAAGTAACAGTTCTAAATAAGGTTCTAAGGGTATGAAACCTTGTATTATGTGTCTTGTGATTGGTTTGGAGGTGAGCACATGCTCGGTGACGGGCGTGTGGGGTGTGCAATTTAGGAATTGTGACTTGGTCCATTCCGTGGAACTACGAAGTTGAATAACTTGTTGTTAGTTGTGTTATCTCCTTGAGTTATAGAAATTTGACTGCATATCATGTTATAAATCATGTCTAGGCTATGTGTTGGTACTGTAGGGACCCACAGAGGTCGTGTTACCTGTTGAATTATTTGCTAATCGCTACTTTTACGTATTCACAGTTTTACTTGCATATCATATCTCAGTCTCTATTGTTCCTTGTTGATACATTATATCATATGTTTTTCAGGCTAATTTTCATGATTTCTGATAGCCCAAGAGACTGGAGAGGTTGATGACCAATTGAGACCGAGGACGTGGTTGTGAGGATATTGATACTATAACACATGACTTGTCCGTGCGGATCTAAATATTGATACTATAGCACGTGAGTTATCGGTGCAGCACGTGAGTTGTCCGTACGGATTATAAAGCTTGGGCTGAAGGAGCCCCTCAGGAGTCTGTACACACCCTTAATGAGCGGAGGTACCTACTGAGTGCGAGTGCCAAGTGCTCAGCGATTGAGAAAGATTGAGTGACTGTTGCTCTAAAAGTATGCTTTTGATTTCCTATTGTTGTACTTAGTTGCCTTATATCATTGTCTTGAAATTTCTGAAAGATATTATATTCTGATTTACTTGAACTTGGCATAAGATAACTGATTTGATCCAAAATTGTTGAACTTGAAAGCATAGCTACTTTCCTATGTTGAAATTAGTAAAATTGAACTATAATTGTAGAGATCGTCGCTACTTTCAATTCTTTATTTAGTCTTTTTACTTACTAAGTTGGTTGTACTCACGCTACACCCTGCACTTCGTGTGCAGATCCAGGTGATTTCGGACGCGGTGGGTGTTGATTTCATCGTACAATTTATCTTTTGTGAGATTCTAAGGTAACTTCCCGTTGCTTCATAGACCTTGTTTCTCCTTCCATATCCTTTCTGCTTGTTGTATTTAGTTTCGGACTATGTGCAGTATTTTCCAGACTTGTGATATTTAGATGTCCATGTACTCCGTGACACCCCGGTATTAGGACATTCCGCATTATGTTTAGGGTTTTATCTCCTTTATGAGAACTTTTTTATCATCTAAAGTTGCTTAAACACATTTTTTGTTAAAATTGTTGGAATATTTTGAAATGTCGGCTTGCCTAGTACCATGTTACGCGTCATCACGACAGGTTCAGATGTTTCTGTTGTTTTGGTTCTTCCTTATTTAGGAGTTGTTGTCGTAAATGATCATTTTGGCTCTCTCTTTAAATGCTTCTTTTATGTTACTTTCATGTCTAATTTCCGATATTAATTCATGTTATTATCTTGTTTCGTTTCGGCTATTCCTTCACTTTCCATTATTTATTCTTATTGCATTTTCATACTTCTTATTTATATCCTAGTAGATGACTTGACCTTGCTTCGTCACAACTCTACTGAAATTAGGCTTGATACTTACTAGGTACCGTTGTGGTATACTCATATTACGTTTCTACATAATTTTTGTGTTGATCCAAGTATGACTGCTCGTGCCAGATGCTAGAGTTGATTCGATTTGTTGTTGTAGAGACTTCAAGGCATACCTGCACCACGTCCTCTGTCCTAGGAGTCACCTTCCCTATTTTACTTTTTGTTGTATTTCTTTCAGACATTGATATATTAGATATTCTACTTTTATTGTATAGAGCTTATTACTCTGTTCCACAGTTCTTAAGGATTGTATGGTCAAGATTCTGTTTTACGGAAGTTTCTATCATATATTCAGCTTTGTTTTAGCATTTTGATAATTGTTTCCACCAAGTTATTATTATTATTATTATTATTATTATTATTATTATTATTATTATTATTATTATTATTATTATTATTATTATTATTATTATTATTATTATTATTATGCTTACTTAGTCGTAGAGACTAAGTACTATCACGACATTCTACGGAGAAAAATTGCGGTCACGACAAATCTCTACCATCAGCACGGTCACGATTTCCAAACGTTCCACGATCTTCTACTATACTACCCAAATAATACCCGAAAATAGTAATTTCGTGTGGGCGAAATTTCTAGGAAAAAGGGCTGAAAGTTTTTTCCTAGAAATTTCGGCCATCATGTTCTCTCCTCACTATGTGAAAAACCTTGTATATTTATAGCACAAGTTTTAAAGGTTAAAACTCTTTTATGAAATTAGTTGAACTTTTTTCATTTAAAAGATGATTCATTTATTTTCTATTATTAGACACAACAGGGACCACATAAGATTAACAAGATTTTCAATTATAAAATTAATTTATAATTTTAAAAACTAATATCCACCATAACAAATTATAAATTAATCAACTAAAAATTTATAATTGAACTCCTTATTCAATTTCGAAATTTATCCATTAAATCTTATTTAACTCCCCATATTAAAATTCAAATACTAAATAAAATTACCAGTAATTTAATTAATTAATTAATTTTCTTTAGACTATCTCTTAACTTATTCCATGTGTCGGGTAACAAATTCACCGATCAAATTTACACATAAAAATATTTATGAAGTTTCATAAAAGTATATCACAACTCCCTAAATCGAGACATGAATTTACTTTGTCAATGTACATTATTATTATTATTATTATTATTATTATTATTATTATTATTATTATTATTATTAATCCACAAAAGAATCTCGTCTTTTAATAAATAAAAATAATTATAATATACACAACTAATAATAATTATATTAAAATTAAAAATAGAAGTACATCTAATTGCTAAAGAGCTTATTTTAAGTCAATATAAAATACTTATCTCTACTTGATCCGTTCAATATACCAAATATAATAGCACACGAAGTTTGAATTAAATCAATCCTATAATTAAAATAAATTATATTTAATCTTGTTTTAAAATCATTCCTTTTGTCGAATTCCATTATTAGAGGGTGAACTCAAACATTATACAATCTTTGGTGCATAAGATAAAACTCTACTAGAAAAGATGCAGAATTCATTATCTAATAAGCCGTCTCCAGAAAAGATAATTTGTGAAGAAATCGTACACAAAAATGTGCTTAGTATTAAATGCTATGCTATTCAGGATCAAAATACGGAAACCATGAAAGTTTTATTCCATGAGTTGGGTATAGCACGATCCCAACAAAAACAGGAACGTAATTACACTCTAAAGCTTAGGAAGGGAAAAAAACAAATTAAAAAGGGAAAAGGTTGCTTTGTCAAAGACTGATCAAGTCAAGTTCCTTTTCTAATTTAGTTCAAGATGCTTGAGGCTGGTTACGTGCCTTCTCCTTCTCCTTCACTTCACTCCCTTGTTTTGTATCATACTCTAACGTAATCATCAACCAACACACATGAATCAGAAAACTGGAATTAAAATTGTAGAGAAGAGGAATAAAGAAGAAAGGGAATAATAAAAACAAAAAAAGGAAAATGCATGAGTAAGTAGTTTACCAGGAGCATTTCCATGGACGATCTTTTCCTCAACATCTTGGTTTCCTCCATATATCCCTCCAAAACCTTCTTCGTCTGACCTCGTTGCGTATCCTTCTCCAAAGCTGGACATTGTGTCCCTTTCATCCAACAAATACCAATTTCAGTATGTTGAAGGCAGTTCTAGGTTTTAAACTTGACAAGTTTACCTATTAAAGTTCATAGCACCTAATTCATTGTAATTTTGAAACTACGAATTCAAAATTTAATAAATGTTACATTTTTTAAATGGATAATCAACTACGCACTTACTTAGGTTTGGTCTCAGTTCCAGGTTTCTTGGTCTCGTCCATTTTGATTTCGTCCTGTTTCCCGGCTTCTGTCAATAGAGTCCGGAATCTGATCTGAGAAGACTTTGAACAAATATTAATGTAATGCGAAGGATTTGAGAAGACAGCAAGTGGTTGTGCTTTGGTAGCTGATCTGAGGGCGTTGAGCATATTTGCCGATTAGATTTATATAGTCAATGGAAACTTAGAGCAGCTTATATAGAGAGGACAAAAGAGATGATGAAAGGGTGATGGATGTTGATCCTTATCATGCTCCGTACCACAAGTCTCAACTTTCTCCTAGCTTCACACGTATGGTTTTCTTCTGACAGTAAATTCACTCCGACACCTTAGATTTCGCCACACATGTTCTGTTTATCATGTATGCATGACACGTTTAGACTCATTGCCACAGTTGAAATCGATTGGGTGAAATAACAAACAATAATAGGTAAGAAAATCTACTTCATTAAGAATAATAATAACAGAAAAACAAATTTACTATTTCACTCCGAGCAAGCTAGATGACATGTTTCAATAAATTGGACATTATTTCTACCAATGGGATTCTGTCCAAACAACTTGAATTCAAGTCCTATTTGGGTGTAAGGTGAAATTACAAGATATTACAGTTAAAAAATAAGATGAAAAAAAATATTTTTTAAGGGTTGAGGCACAGATATTTTGCTCTCTTTAAGGAGATTTAAATCCACTACGGTAGCATCTTCACCGGTCTAGCAGTAATACTCTTGACTTGTCCCCCTCCAGGATACAACAGCCCGATAACGTTGTATGACTTGATTAAACTCTGGACAAGTTTTTGAATCCAAAGCTCCACCAAAATGAACACCTTCCTTCAACAAAAATAATATTCTCTGTTGTAGAGAATAAGTTGGAGACATAGATTTTCTCCTTCTCTTAACTCTCTTTTTCACTACACCAAGTTCACTTTTGCATACACACTAACACAAGGAAGAAACACCACTATTTATAGGTGTAAATTATAGAATAAATAACAAAGTAGTGGGATATTAAAATAGTAGAACATGGATTGTGGTTACAAGATATAAGTTTTAGTCGGTAATAAGTGGTAGATCATGACATTAGTGGTTTCAAAAGTTACACCAAAATAATGACCACTTTCTTGCCAATTTACAACCACTATCTCACAAGAAATAAAACACTTTAATATTATAATTTTAATATTAAAATGCACTAATACCAGCATTCCCCAACTTATTTTAATATCGAAATAAGAGAGTTTATCAGTTGAAGGGAGACTATATATTATGCATAATGAATGTGTGATCTGCATTGAATCTCCACTTAGTAAAACAACCATCTCTATTCCAGAGTCAGTAGTGGTCTCAGACTTGAACTATGACCGCTTTAGGGAAATAAAGTATCACTACTTACACATAATAATTGAGGTGTTGACATGAGCTTTATTAGTCAGCACATTACGGCATTGTGCTATGTTACAACCCATATCCACACGCGTTAGTTCATGCCATATATTAGTTAACATAAATCCAAGAAGGAATTACCTTTGAGATGATAAGAAGTTAATTTTATTGGTCTTAAGTGATACAAGGGTGTATAAGGGTGATTAACAAGTATTAGAAGTTAAACGAATCAAGGATGTGGTAACTCGTATTTTCAGGTAAACCTAGAGGTTCTTAATACACTCAAGAGGTCATGTATTAAGGTATTTGAATCATATACTATCCGTATCATAAGTCTTGAAGTCAAACGAGTTATGAAACAAAAGTCGACAAACGTTGTCGCAACTTAGGTTCATAATTTTACTTAAACATTAGGTTAAATGTTTCTAAGCTTTTCTCCTAATTTACAAGGAATTACGGGGTGATCTACCCACCAAATTAAAGATCTATGAGTCTAGTTTCCAACGCATTAAACCGTTTGTCAATACGATCTCGGAGTATAGAGATATTCATATTTTCGCAAGCCTGCGCAGATTGGTAGATGACAAGAAGGTGCATCACCTACTTGCCAAAATGATAGAACAAAACGAATGTTAACCCCTGAACCTCCTCCCCAAAAATCCCACACAAACCCTAATCGATTTTCCCTCTCTTTCAAGTTCTATTTGAAGGTAAAACCTAGAGTTTGAAGAACCAAGGGAAGGGCGGAGTTATCCAACAAGTAAGGTAAGTTACTGCCATCTTTCATACATTTTTCTCTGCTGTGAATTCATGGTAATTCGTTCTATACATGTAAGAACTCACGGGACGGTGATCGGAAGCCGTGAGTTCGAGTTATTCACTTGTAGCGGACTGTTTTGTTGACTATTTTGTGTTGCTGTTGGGTTGCGTGTTTTACTACTGTTTTGTGGAGTTTTGGAGGTGGAAGGGTGTGGATAAACACCATATATATGTAGGGTTGTGAGCTGATAGTTATTCATAACATTTCTGGATCGTTTGACACGACTACGATGGCCGTCGTATGTATGATGTAATTAGGTTGTGCGTGGACTGTTTTGGGAGGCTCAATATGTTTATTATTGATGTTGTTTGGGCTGTTTGGTGATTGTTT